CTTGTCTGAACTAGGACATTACTGGGGAGCAAATCTGATTTACTCAGTCAGAATATTCTAAATGTAAACATGCCAGGCACTGCACCAAAAATCAGACACAAAGAACAGTGAAAACATGATTCCTGCCAGCAAGGAGCTCACGTTCCATTTGGGGAGACAGCGCACAAACAACTACATACATAGAAGACACACACGCACTGCTAACTGCACACAACTTCTGCCACAGAAGTAAAGCCATGGTATTATTATGGCATTATGATCTCAAGCATTGTCTTAAGACTCTCTTTCATGTGTAGAATCTGAAAATCTGGGTCCAAAACACCGACTAAGATTGGCAACAGTCCACTGCTATCTGTGCTCCAAAAAGAAAAAAATGGTAACACAAAGCTGATACAAAAGAATGGTCAATGCAGGTTTTTAATTAGAAGTAATCAACGAGTGGAACCGGGTTCTATTAGCTGAGAGATAGGGAATTTCGTCACTGTGAAACAGAGCCAACCATTTTCCAAGCTGTGCAGGGTCAGAATTGAGTAGGCATGTTTTCCAAATGAAAAAGTCTTTGGTATTTAAACTGACAACTCTTGGTCTAACTGTCTGAAAGCTTTATTAAAGCTGAAAGGTCTTTGAGGTGACTTACATTTGTCCTCTAAAACAAAGAACATTCTTTCTCAGAAACCCTGTTTGCCTTCAAGTTTCAACAAAGGTGCTAATGCCCCTAGGACACTTTCCCTGATCCCTTCTCCTCTCCCCAGGTGAGGGCCGGTACTCTTCCTCAACTGCCCTCCGGAGATGCATTTGTGGGCTTGTTGTATCCTCCAGAAGAATGGAAGCAGGGAAGGGGGTAGACTGTCCTGTCATGCTCTGGTCACTGTCTACCTAATGATCCTGCAGAGTTGCTGCAAAATATCTGCTGAATTGAATTTGTGCCAATTGGCTCACAAGTTAAGTTTTGGGGAATTTAGAATTTATTCATGAAAAGGTACTACATGGATATTCAAGAAGTTACTATTTTTATGGATTTCCAATTGTTCCAAAAAGACTGCCATAAATTTTATAAGTGAAAAGATTCATAGAAGTACCTTGTTATTTTGGCTACATTGTAAGCTGTCAATAGTTTTCAGTTCATTCATTCAACACTTAAAATTTTAAATCTTTCATTTCCACTGGGAGAGAGCTCCCAGGCAATAAGCAGTGACACTGCGTGAAGGACACTGTGTGAAGGACACTGTGCTGGGCGCTGGTGGAGACCCAGAGGTCAGTGATGGAGACTCTCTCTATGATAACTGCTGCACAGTCAATACCAGCCACGCCCCGGCTCATCTTCACCAGGACTGTCCTACATTCCACACTGCCTTCGACATCTAGGTTTTCTGGTGTTCGTCTTTCTATTTAATCCAAATGTTTTCTTCATAGGGATTGAGTCCTTCTGCTGTTCTCCTCCAAATTTCTTTCTTTATAGCTTTTGATTAATTGTTGACAGTTTTTGTTTTCTCACTTACAGAACTTAAGCAGATGGGAATGTCAGATCTGGCATCTGGGTAGAGTTGTGGTTTTTTTCAAATTTTGTTTAAACCATCCAAGTACAGATTATTTTTTTCATTCTTGACTTAGATAAAGGAAAGAATTGTTAACCTGACCCTGATTTTTTTGAAGTGCAAAGTTGAGATACAACAATTGTGTTGTTGTTACTGAGTCATTTTAGTCACACCCAATGCTCTGTGACCCTATCTGGGTTTTCTTGGCAGAAAAACCGGAGTGGTTTGCCACTTCTTTTTCCAGCTCATTTACAGATGAGGAAACTGAGGCAAACAGGGTGACGTGACTTACCCAGGGTCACACAGCTAGTAAGTAACTGAGTCCAGTCTTCCTGACTCCAGGTCCGGCACTCTACCCACTGTCTATCTACACATAGACACACACTCTCACATGTTTATAAACACACGCCCACACAAAGTATAGTAGACAGCCACAGGAGCTAGTGCTAGAGACGCTCAGAGGATTGAGAGCCTCCTGAGAGGCAGCAGAAATCAAGGAAAGTTCCCTGGAATCTCGAGGGCCAGCTGCCGCTTGCCTGTAACTCTGTCTAATTGGTATTTCTGGTTTGTTGGTCACTTCTGCCTCAGTAGGGTGTTAGTACATACATACCCTCTGTACTCCCCTGGTTTTTAGGGTTAATAGCTTTTCCTGTCCTGGCTTGATCCTAAGCCTGGTAGAAAACTAATATTACTCTCTGTATGACACTGGGCAAGTCACTTAACCGCCAGCTGACTCGGTTTCATCATCTGTAAAACGGGGATGATAACATGGCCCACCTCCCAGGGGTGTGAAGATCAAATGAGATAACTATTGTAAAGCACTTAATTCAGTGCCTGGCACATAGTAGGTGCCTTATAAAGGTTAGCTATTAGTACATGCACACGTGTATATACATATATACACACATACATGTAGGCATACATGCATATTCATACACCTGCTTTATGTTCATTAGTTCATGATTATGTTCATTAGTTCTGCTACACTGTTTTTTTAAAAAATCTGTTATTATGAGGGATAGCTCGATGGGTAAGGGAGAGGGTAAAGCTATATCTGAAAATGAAAGTGATGAAGAAACAAAAGTTATAAATAATTTTTTAAGCACGTAAGGTCCTTGAGAGGCCTTGGTGTAAGCACCTTACACCAAGACCTAGGTGCAAGGTCCGCTTTTGACACATGGTGGCTGTGTGACCCTGGCTAAGTCACAGAAGCACTCTAGGCACCTCTCCCTCTGATCCTCCCAGCTGCAGAGCAGGTGCTGACACATCCTGGTAGAGGCAGTTCCCTATATCACTGAAATCCCAGGTCCACTCTATATCCTAGACACAGGGCACAAAACGTTCATCAGAAAAAATGACAACTGAGTAAAGGGGGCTTAGGATGGCTGTGGGTTCCTTGATGATGTAGCTGAGTACATAACTCTTATATACCTTGCAAAATCCAAGTTGTCTTCATTAAATTATAGCAAAATAAGTCATAAATTCAAGTACTTATTTCATCAATATATGTTATCATTCTATCAATAAAGTTTACAAAACAATTTATAAAGGATTTTAAGTCCTGGGAAATATAGCTCTCCCACCTCTCCTGTTCGATTTTAAGTTACACAAAAGCAGGAGTCACATCTCATTCTTTGCCTGCTGCTAACACAACATCTTGTACCTCATACAATTATCAGAATCTTACCCTTTACCTTATACATAGTAGATATGCAATAAATGTTGGATGGCTGAATCAATCAATCAATCAAAACTAGCCTGAGGCCTCTTGGTAGCAAATACTGCCACGGTGTCACTGTACCTGCCTCAACAAATAAATGAATTACTTATGATGAGGAGGTTTACTTTGCAGTAGTATAACTGCAGATAGCCAGGTCTATGTAAATAATTTTAAGGAGTCAAAAATTGGTCCTGAAGTCTCTTTACATCACCAATTTGCTTCACGTGTTTTTTTTTTAACCACAGACAATACATACACAAATACGCTTTCATCAGACACAGCTTATCTGATCACAAATTAGATTTATTAGAGTCCGAATTGATATTTATTGTATTAACACCTTATCCAGGAAGCCAGGACTATCCTATTACAAAAATGTTTTGGATCTAGACCTGTGATTTCAAAGACATAACCCACCCTTGGACCATTTTAGACAGTACACTCCCAGTATCCCCAAGGCTTTCAATACACCCACATCACACAAAGACACAGTGGATGTGCTCTCACGCAAGATGTGAGGTCCAGACCATTGCATCATGGAAGCCTCTGAGGGAACCACAGTGGAGTAGCTGTTGCACAGGTTTCTCCCCTCACACCCTGACCCACTTTTCCCCAGCAGGCACGAACCCCACCTTGCCCTTCCTTACACAGCTGGGGCCACTACCCCCAAAGCATGAGAAGGACTATGGCATAATGATAGCTAGTGTTTCCATGTTCCCTTTGGGCCTGCTGTGATGGCCATCCCTTACCCCACTCCTGGTAAGGGTGAGGCTGGTGAGGCCGAGGGACGGGGGACATGCTACAACACTGTTGCCCAACAAAGCCCCAGAAACGAGGACAAAAGTCCTGGACAGAAAAGCGGTCCCTGGCAGACCCTGTAAAGGAGTACTCCCAGTAAAATCATGCTGAAGTCCAAGTCAAGAGAAAAGGAGAAATGACCCCATCACTTCTTCAAGGACAGCTGAGGAGAGAGAGAGCAGAAGAAGGGCAAAAGAGGTGAGTGAGAAGGTGCCATCCACAGCCTAGAGATGAAAGCCCAAGCCTCTTCATTCCCTGACAAAGGTCTATCAGACAATGGCATACAATCATAGGGGTCTTAGCAGGTCAAGGACTTTACATGAAATCTTTTCAATTTGCTCGGTTTATCAAGCTGTTTGCAAAGTTTAAGGGTTTAATTTATACACAAACCATCCCTTCTACCTGTCATCATTCCTCATGCCCTGATTAGATCAGCTCCATATTTCCTTTTTTTAAAAAAGATATGAAAATAAGAGGCTCTGAAAAATTGGAAATTCATTGCAATTTTGATAAAATGAGATGAAAAAGATGCAATCTATGCGATGAAAAAAAAATACGTAAGGACAAAGCTAGCTGTACTCTCACTGAAAAAATAAGGAAAAGAACAAATACCCTTCTCCTGGGTTTGGCATGTCTTTTCCAAAACCAAGATCTATCCATCTGGTTTAGGCCAAAAGGACATCTGGATGAGAATGATCTTGGGCTGTGCGTGCACCCTCATCGCACCCATATCCCAAGTGCTCAGGCTCAGTATAACTCAAATCAGCCCCACAAAAATGGTGAGGCAAGGACCTCCAAGACCGATGTACAGGGGACCAACGGGCTGATATTATGGAAGATACTAGAAACATCCCAAAGAGAGACACTGTGAAAGCTTTTCCACGTGAATAAAACAAAGGACACAGAAAATCCATTCGGAAGCCATAGCTTCTCCAGCAGCTCCTTACCATCGCACTTTATTGCACGTCTGCGTGGCGCCGAGGGGAGAGCCGGCCACCATGGGCACCTGGATGGGGCTGTGCTGCTTGTTCATGACCAGGTCCAGTTTCTCCTCTAACGATTTGCACGTGGCTTCCAGGGCTTGCAGTTTGGCCTCAATGCTATCCAACCGTAAGCATATTGTCTGATTAATGGAATACAGGAATGACTGAAAGTGAGAAAAAAAAAAGACTTTTTAAATGGTGAATTGATCTTAAAGAAAAATGTACATATTCATGAAACAAATATGTATTAAGTGCCTTTTTGTGGCAGGTGAAGCCACCACAAACAATTATAAAGGGCACTCACCAACCTTCAGAGAATCCACCATTCTCAGATATTCCAAAAGTACAATCCATACTACTAGGCTTGCTCTTGACTTATATAACCCAGAAGCAGCTACCCTTCGTTCTGTGAAGTTTGGAGTCAGTCAAAGGGCCGCACTTGAGGACCTAGAGGGCCACATGTGGTTCCCACCCTTCATAAACCTATTCAAGCCCTTTTCATTAATAATATTTAGCATAACTTGTCAATACTGGTGCCAATCGTCTATGAAATTAGAATGCTCTACATGATGGAAAATTAAGAATGTGCTAATGCCAAGTACAAACAAAAGAAAATGCCTAAGAACTCGACCATATTAACACATTAATCAGTATACTCTCATTCCCACAGAATTATAACACAATAGACAAAGCCCGCCGGCAGGTGCTTCCAGTCTATGCTCTAGACAGCCAACTTCAAAAGCGATGAATGACAAACAAGGACATTTCAGAAAACGTACACGGAAGCACACGTCTGTTTACTGAAAGCGGCACCTGCCCTGGCTTTCTGCGGATGGCCATCTTGGTGTTCTTAATGGCAAGCCTGCCACCTAGTGGGCCACAGAAAAACTACTTCTAAAGTCTGGCTAACCTTAAGCATCAATTACTCCAACATCAGAAACCAGAACAGGACAAGTAAGTATAAGGTAAACTGTGGTATTTAACCAAATTTCCACTTAAAGTACTACTTAGTTTTAATGAATTAGCAAGTGTACTAATGAGTACAAATGGTTCTTAAAACTCAGCAAAACAAAACTTAATTGCTATTAGCCAGTCACTGAAAGGTATTATACAGTGTTAAACATTTTGGAAACTCAGATTGATAATTGGATAACTGTCTTCAGACAGAATAAAAAAAAACACACAAACCAGGATCCTTTCCAAATACTACAGGACAGTCCTGGAAAGTCACAGGGAGAATGACCTTTTCCCTGTCTATTCTTTAAAACAGGCTTTGTGAAATAAATATTAAATACAGTTCTCAGTTATTTAGGGGTAGTAGCAAAGCTTATCAGGGCAGCTAGGTGGCACAGCAGATAGTGCACTGGGCCTGGAGTCAGGAAGATTCATCTTCATGAGTTCAAATCAGACACTTGCAAGCTGTGTGACCCTGGGTAAGCCACTTAACCCTGTTTGCCTCAGTTTCCTCATCTGTAAAATGAGATGGAGAAGAAAATGGCAAACTCCTCCAGCATCTTTGCCAAGAAAACCCCAAATGGGGTCATGAAGAGTCGAACATAACCAAACAAAAAAGCGTAGCTTATCAGCTTTTGGATTATCTGAATTTTCTGTCATTCTCTCAACTCCTTTCAGTCATTTTTCTACTCATTAGGAAAGAGTTACAGAAGATAAATACAGATTCATCATTTTCATACTTGATTATCTGTTCCATCACTAAACTACCCTGTTTGGATGCTTTCCTAACCTGCTGCAGACGATGTGTGCGATCTGCCAGGGACAGGCTCATGGCAATGTTATCATCCCTCTCTTCCACGATCTCTTTTACATAGCTTCGCGTATGCAGACCATTATTGGCAACATGGCACAGCCTATTTACAGATCTCCCTACTGTCGTCTGGGTGACCTAGAGGCGGGGGGTGGCGTAGTGGAGACAGTGCTGGCTCTGGCGTCAAGAAGACCTGAGTTCAAATGTGGCCTCTGACATTTACCAGCTGTGTGACCCTGGGCAACACTTAACTTCTATCTGCCTCAAGGTCCAGATCTGTAAAATGGAGATTTACATCACAGGGTTACTGGGAAGATAAAGTGAGGTAATATTTGTAAAGCATTTTGAAAACTTTAAAGTGCTAATAGTGATGCTAGATAACTATTATTACTTGAAATTTTGATTTTTCAGAAGTTCCATGATTCACAACCACATAGCACCACCAGAAGAATATCTGATTTTAAAATGAGGGTTTTGGTTTGGTTTTTTTTGTTTTTGTTTTTGTTTTCAGGGAAAACCTTGAGGTAGTGGACACTGCTGTGCAATCCAGACTGCCAGCTTCCTCCTATAGAATTCTCAGTGTCTACTTGCGGTATCTGTCCAAAACCTGCGCTGCGGCACCAGCCCAACGGACTATCCAGCTAGTCGTGTGCCAGTGTGGACAATGTGCACTCTTGATTCACCTGGTTCTTTTCCTAGGTGGGCTGCTGGGCCAAACTCTTCTGCACAGCGATGGCTCTCGCCCAGGAGGTTCTCCAATGTCCAGGACACAATGCCACCTGGAACCAGGAGCATCTGGGGCCCCTGCCATCTCTAGGATGTGCATCTGCTATCTAGACTTTAAAAGGATGTGAAGCGAGATCCAGCCAGCCCCCCTCTTCAAGAGATGCTAGGAGTTACGACAGGATGCACAAAGAGACAAAAAACATAAATCTGACCCCAAATATAATCTTAACTCTGAAAAGTCACGTACTTAAAACCTAAATTTCTAAGCTACTTCAGAAAGATACCCCTTTACCTTACGTATCCTCCCCCAACTGTCTGATCTGAACTCATGAAGTTGAGTCTTCCTGACTCCAGGCCCAGTGCACTATCTGCTGTGCCACCTAGCTGCCCTGATAAGCTTCGCGACTACCCCTAAATAATTGAGAACTGTATTTAACATTTATGGGCTTGTATGGGCTGTAGGATTTAGATTTGTGAGGGACCATCAAAATAATCTCGTCCAACCATCTTTTTTCAACATTGGGAAACTGAGGTCCAGGGAGGAAAATCGGTTTATTTGAAACCACTAAGGCAACAAGCAGCAGGATCTGATCCAGGTTTCCAGCCTATAGAGCTACTGCCATATCCATATCTCTTCCTTCATATGTTTAATAATATGAAAACTACAAATTACAACTGCTTCAAATGCTACACAACACATTTTTGTTTTGTTTTGTTTTAAACCACCAGAACAACAGAAATATAAGTGCATACAGGACTACTTTAAGTGGCAGAAATTGAAATGATCCTTGTGGGACTGGCTACTTGCATTCAGGGAAGCCGCCTAAGTCATTTCAGTCATCAGATTGTAGCCACTCTAAGGTTTTGCCACCTAAGACTGGTTTGCAACTGTTACAGATATTTTGTTTCTTTTATGTAACTTCCCAGGACTTGTCCACCCTCCACACTCAGACACACACACATACTCCACGCGCGTGCACACACTTTGTGCTAAGCAAGGCAGACAGAGCACACACATAAAACATGATGCAGAACAAAGTCCTGCTTTACACACGGAGGGGATGTGTCTGACTCTAAAAGCCACGGAGCCAAACGAGTAGCTCAGGGATCCAGAAATGAATCACTGTAACAATAACATGAAAAGTTAGCAGGCCTCACTGAGAGGGTGAGCAGACCTGTCAGCAAGGGGACATATGCTTTACTTCGTCTTCAGTCTAAAACGATCATTCAGCCAACTCTGCACGTTAGCATGGGTAAGCCGGAGGTAGGAGGGAGGGAGAAGTTACGCCAGCAATCTTGACAGTCTAAAGGACTTCATTTTAGGCTTGTTTTCATACATTTCCCAAAAGAAGTGTTTTCTGTACAACCGAATTGGGAAAAAGCACATTTCTCCAAGATTACCTTTATTGAGGGATCCTGGCAGTTGATTTCTATTCGCTGGCGTTTCAAAGGAGGCTCTACTTCTTCATCTGTGACTTCATGATTCTCTAACACAACTGCAAACCAAAAAAGGCGAGAGCATCGAATTAATTCTATTTCATTCTGGAGGAGGGGCGTGTGTGTATGTATGGGGGCGGGGTATGATAAACTTGTATTTCATATATAAACATGTATGCACAAGAAGACAGGTAGGTAGATATTGTAGGAAACAAAGTCCTGTTATGTGAGAGACAGAGACAGAGTAAGAGACAGAACAGACACACAGAACCAGAAAAAAGTTGGGCGTGGGGGGTGGAGAACAGAGACAGAAAGAACAAGAGAAAGACAGAGATGGAGAGAGATTTGAGCCCTTATATTTATTTTTTTAAAGTCTCTAGGAAATTTTAAAGAAAACTTTACATACTAGATAAATGATTTGCCAAGGGTGGCAATGACTAAATCATAGAAGAGAGAACTAAATTCCTATCACCCTGACTCTCAATTCATTGTTCTAGCTATTAAATTACTCTACTGATCAAACTGCAAAACGTTAAGCAGAATGACAACGTTACTGCCTTCCACTGTAGGAAAAACTTTTTTTTTCATTCCTATCCATCACCTCTTTCTATTATTAAAAAAGAAATCCAGAGCAATATGGCCTGGTGGCTAGAATGCCATCCTGGTTCAGATACACATCAGCTGACTATGACCCTGAGCGAGGGACCTATCACTGTGAGCCCCAGGAAGCTGTAGGAGGTAGAGAGCAAATGGAGATGGGCATTGATTGAGGGCATTTCCTCACTGGAAGCACCTGATGAATTTTTTTTCAATATTAAATTTTCTTAGCAATTACTCTTGTGTCCTCTAATAGCAAAATAGCAAAATGTCTAAAGTGTGGACTGATGTATACAGAGCTGTTCACTTCCAAATTAAATTGATCTCTAACTTCCAGTTTATAAATATCCTCTGCTTCAATGGACAGATGAGTCAAAAACAGAGTGCATTCAGAAAATAAAAGAAGTAATATTTGAAAGTTAAAGTGGGAAGAGTGCTAGAGATCTGGGTTCAAATTCTACCTCTGACACTTACTAGTTGTGTGACCATGGGAAAGTCACTCAACCACTATGAGATTCAGTTTCCTCCCCTGTTAAATGGGGATATCACTACCTATATACCACAGACTTCAGAGTCTGGTTTTTCAAAACAAATGAGAAAACCTTAGCCAGCTTCAAAGCACCAGATTTTGTAAGTCATTAGCTCTTGTCAGGTCTGGCCAATGCCACACTGTACTCCTCACTGATTATGAGGGGAGGCTGTCCTGAGATGCAGAGAAGTCAGTGGGGAAGGGCCCGTAATGGTTAAAAGAAAAAAGACACCAATTAATACACTCTAAATCCAAACTACTCAAAGGGATCCATCCTCTCATCAACTCAAGAGCTCCCTCCACATTGCAAATCCCCCCAGCCAAGACTGGCCACACTGGGTGATGCCGCTTGTCCACATTCTCCACACAGCCCACCCAACCACCCTGGCCGTACACTTGCCACCCTTTCTCTTCCTCCCCCCCCCGTCCCCCGCCGTGTCCTCATCACGCCACACAATTCATCTGCTCTCCTGGAGCTCCTCCTTGGTTACATGTAGCAGCCTACTCACAAAGGTCCCCTTTTAGGTTTTTCTTGCCTCTGTGCTGGCATTTCAAAGTTCCTTCTCATCTCTGGGCTTTTCATCAGAAACATGTGAACATCCCCTATTCTCCTTGCTCGAGGTCTTTAGGGCACTGCTCTCTCCTGCTTCTCCTCCTACCTGACTGCTCCTTCTGGGCCTCCTTTGTTGGACCCTCATCTGGGTGATGCCCCTAAATGTGGGTGTCCCCCAAGGCTCTGTCCTGGGTCCTTTTCTCCCTCTATACATTTCACCTGGTTATCTCATCAGCTCCCATGCTTTCAACTATCATCTCTATGCAGATGATTATTAAGATTTATCCAGCCCTAACCTCTCTCTTGACCTCCCAAGTCTCACTTCTCCAGCTGCTATTGGATAATTCAACCTGGATGTCCTGTAGACATCTTAAATTCAACATGTCTAAAACCTTTTCCCAAAAAATTCTCCCCTCTTCCTAGCTTCCCTATTACTATATAGTGTACCACTATCCTCCCAGGTACCCAGGCTCACAGCCTAAGTTTCATCCTCACCTCCTCAAACTCTCTCATCCCCCATTTCCAATCTCTTGCCAAGCCCTACCATCTTGACATTCATACCATCCCTCGTGTATGTGCCCTCCTCTAATCCAACACTCCTACCGTCCTTCTGCAGACCCTCGTCACTTCTCATTTGGACCATGGTCCAAGTATGGGCTCCCTGCCTCCAGTCTCTCTCCACTCCAGTCCAGCTTCCACTCAGCTGTCAAAGTGATCTTTCACAAGACCAAGTCTGACCAGGCCAGTAATCAACACACCACTTCAATAAACTCCAGGGCCTTCCCAAGGCCACGCTTGAGCTATACGTTAAGGAAGAGAGGGATTCTCTGAAGCAGATGTGAAGAGGGAGTATATGCCATGCAGAGGTAGAGCCAGGGCAAAGGCATGAGAACAGGGGATGGAATAACATGTGTGAGGAAGAGAGAAGGCTGGGGTGGCTGGACTACACAGTGCAGGAGGGAGAATAATGCACAAGCAGGTTAGAAAGAGAGGCTAGGATCAGGTACTGAAGGACTTGGGAAGGAAGGAAGGAAATACACATTTATCTAGCACCTATTATGCACCAGGTACTCGGCTAATCTCATTTGACCCTCACAACAACCCCGGGAGGCAGATACTATTGTAGTTCCCATCTTACAGTGGAGGAAACTGAGGCAGACAGAGGTTAAGTGACTTGCCCAGGGTCAGGCGGCTAGTAGGTGTCTGAGGCCGGATTTGAACTCAGGTCTTCCTGACTCCAGGCCCAGCACTCTATTCACTGTGCCACCTACTTAAACAGAAGAGTTCATATTTATCCTAAGAGTGACAGGAAATCACTGCAGTTAGTTTAGTAACAGAGAGGAACGGTCAGGTGTAGGCCTGAGGAAAATCAGGCAGCTGTGTAGAAGACAAGACAGGAGGGGAGGGCAGGCCTGAGTAAGGGAAACCAATTAGGAGGCTGTTGAGGTGATGCTGGGTGAAAGGTGAAGAGGGCCTTCGTTAAGAGGTGGTTATGCAAATAGGGAGAAAGGGTCCACAGCAAAAGACACAGCAGTGAAAACAGCAAGATCTGGTAAATGAAAAGATATGCAGGGTGAGGCTGCTAAATTCAGAAAAACACCCAGATTACAAACCTGGGAGACTGTGGCGTGGCCTGGAAGAAAGAGGGAACTCTGGAAGATTGGTTTGTGGTAAAAGACAGGTTGTGTTTGTGACATGCTCAGTGCGACATACACTAATAATATATAAAACTTGAAAGGTCATGTAGAGGCCAAAATCCCTAACACATCTTAATAGCACAGAATGATCACTGATATTCCTAATGATCCTTAATCACTAAGAAGATACTAAGTTACATCCACTCTGCTCAGAAAGGCAAAGGAAAAAATTTAATTTAAAAAGGTTTCATCCCATTAATAATTAAATTACAGAATCTCAACTCTCTATCCAAATCCAAACCAAATTTTGAATCCTGTCCTTTAGAAATGATTTCTGGCTTCAATCAAATACTGTGATGGGCAAATCACGATTCCCCCACAGGCAAACTGCTCCACTCTGGGCCAGCTCTTAACTGTTGAGAAGGGTGTTTCTGTGTTCATTTGGTTTTATATGTTAAAGCAGAATCTGCTTCCTCTAACTCCCTCCAGCCCCCACCTGGGTCTAGTTCTGCCTTCTGGAGCCAAGCAGAAAAAGCCTAGTGTGTTTTCCACACAACAACCCTACAAAACTTCAGTGGGTCCAGACCTGGAAGGTGGCTCAGAGGCCAACAGGCCCCTTCATTTTACAAAGGGATGTTCAATACCATGCCCAAGGTCACCCAGGTAGCAAGTGTCAGCAGTGGAATTCGAACCCAGGCCCACTGATTGCAGGACCTGTACCATTTTCACCATACTCAGCAAAGCAGTTATCCCGTCCTCCTCCCCTCCTCTATCTACTACTCCAGGTTCCTTCAACCAGTGTTCTCATGGCATGGTTCTGAGTCACCATGCAGTCTGGTCCCCCTTTTCAATGCCCATTCTAAAAGGTGCTGCCCTGAATCAACAGAGCGCCCCAGAAGTAATCCACCAGAGAACAGCAGGGCCACCACCTCCTACCCTCTGAGTACCTGGGCCCATCCGAAGCCCATATTGATAGGTTTTAGCACGAGCGACACAAACTCCACCGCCATCTCCTTCCTGGTGGTGACGGCACCACCCCCGTTCCGAACTGTCCACTGGAAAAACAGCCACCAACCCTGAAGCATAATAATGAAATAATAAATCAATTCTCCTGGATTCAGACTTTAAGCTACGTTGGAAGAGCAGCTATTAAATCAACAAATGTGTGCTAAGTGCCTTCTTTATGCAAAGCATGGAAGGAGGCAGCCCACGAGACAGAGTAGGGGACCTGGGCCCTACTGGCTAGGGTGGGAAGGCGAGAACCAAAACACCCCCCGGCAGCAAGAGCTTCCAGCATCTACACAGGGCCACAGCTTGAGCGGTCACAGAGTGTGAAATGGTTAACTAGCAACTGAACCGTACAGAAAATAAAAGGAGGTCACAGGAAGAAGAGACTGACTGAAATCAGCAATGGCCTGGGATTCAAATCCTGCCTCATACTGTAATGCACAACACTATTTTGCCATTTAGGCAGTAGGGCCCTTTAAGCCATGGAAAGCAAAAGTTGGTGCTTCATCTTGCCCCAGACCTCTTTCCTCCTAAATCTAAACAATAGTGAAATGTACTCTTGCATAGCTCAGCATAGCCCGTACCTCCAATGCAAATGGATAAGAAAGCTTGAGATATAATTGCTTTAGATAATTATGTTTATACCAGAGGCCAGGACGCCTGGTCTGGTTTGTGTGATCTCTGACCTGTAATGATGGGGTGCTCGGGTGCTTGTACTTGTGCCCCAATTTCTCCCCAGTCTCAGAAACACTGTCTCTGACAACCACTCCCCAGCCCAAGGACACTGTGCCTAGCAGTTATTCATGCATGGGCCTCAGCATGACCCTTGTCTCTCTCCCTGGTACAGCTACACAGAGCTGGGCCGCTCAGGCCCCAGCCCTCAGATCATGTCTCTGGAAGCCTCCCAATTCCTCAGTAAGTTCCTGTGTTGTGAGAAAGCTTTCTCTTGTTGCAGAGCATTCTCTCATCAAGACAGAGGGAGAGGGGTGTCCTTGGCCAGCCCAAGGACTCTTCCTCCTGCCAGACTCCAAAGATCCATCCCCCTCCCTGTCCGGTATACTCCCTGTACTTTCCCATCCATAGCCCCCAAAGACACCTGCATCTTTGGATTACCTCATCAGTGTTCCTCGCATTTCTTTCCCATGCTCTTTTCTATATAAACCCTAGCTCAACCCCTGCTGGGGGCTGCTTGATTTGGATGTGCATGCCCCTGGCAGCCACGCGCTAATAAAATCTACATCTTAAATTACGTCTGGGTCTCACTCGCTGATTTCTCGGTACAACAATACGACCTTGGGCCTGGGGCTCAGTTTCCTCATCTGTAAAATGGGGAAGTAGGACTTCCGGCTCTAAATCTATGATTCTAAGGCCTTTGTTGCTTTTACTATTATTGCTGCCAAAGGCAAAATGGGCTTTTTACCGGTTACAAGGTCAGAATCTTTCTGAATCTCCACTCAGGCGATTTTTCAGAACCGGGGGTCTAACTGTTCCAAATTTCAAATGCACATCAAAAAACAGGTTTGGAAACCTCTTAATCTTAACGAAATCTTTTCTGTACACAGATATTTGGTTTCAAAGCACCACAAAGGAAAACCGTGTCAAGGAAGAGTCCAAAACACATTAAGAAAGACGGCGTGCAGGCATGTGACTCCCCCACTCAACCAGCTCCAAAGCTTCCCACGGTCTCCAGGATAAACTACCCCCGTGGCCAACTCACAAAGCCTGCCCCAGCCTGGCCCCGACCTACCCTGGCAGCCTCACGGGGCCTCCCTCCCACACGGCACCCCAGCACCTGTGCAAGGGCCTCTGAGCCCACCCACCGCTGCTGGGAGGCGTTTCAGAGTCTCTCTCTCTCTCTTCCTTTACGATGTAGCTCAGTCACCATCTTCTTCAGGAAGATTCCTCCTGACTGCTAGTGTCCTCCCCATCCCACACACCACTACAGTCACCCGTTTTGTATAACTTGCATTTATTCACTTTCCATTTATGCTGTATGTGTTTTTACATGCACCTGTTGTCTCCCTCATTGGAATGTAAGCTCACTGCAAGCCAGAACTGCTCCATTCTTTGTACCTGTGTCTCCAGCACCTGGCAGATAGATGGATTGTTGAAACAAGCAATAAAGTAAACAGCTTGTTCAGAGTTCTGAGCAACATACCACGGAATTTGCAGTTTGCATTCTATTTGAAACATAATTCGAGTCCATTCACCTGGGACTATCAGGGAAATGACAACATTTGAAAAGCTGAGGCTACAAATTAATGCTGAAAAGCATCTTTTGGTATTATGGCCTGCAGATAAAATCATTCTGATGAGTAAACGGTTAGAATTTAGATCGCTATATAAATGTTCATAATTTAAAACTGGAATGTTTTTCTCATGTAGTGTTTCACGTTGCATGCTTTTGTAACAAAGTTATTATTAACCTTCTAAAACTTTTAAAATTTCAAACAATTAAGATACTTCAAGAATTTTTTTAGTGTTTCCTATAAAAAGACATCTAAAACAAAACAAAAAAGATGCATTAAGGAATATGATTCTTAAAAGGCTAACAACTCAATATATTTCTTTGTGATTGCTTACATCTTCTCTCATTTGATTCCAAAACTACCTGTATTAATATACTTAAATATTAGTATCCCAAAAGAAATTTTCTATTAGTAAAACAAATAGTCAACTCAAAAAAAGGCATTATATCGCGCTGAATGGCGTTCCTAAAAATTCTGTCTTGTTTTTTTGTTGTTGTTTTTTAGGGGGGTTTTGCTTTTTAGTGAGGCAACCGGGATTAAGTGACTTGCCCAGGGTCACACAGCTAGTAAGTGCCATGTGTCTAAGGGCGGATTTGAACTCAGGTCTTCCTGAGTCCAAGGCCAGAGCTCTATCTACTACATCACCTAGCTGCCCCGTCTTGTACATTTAGAAATGAAAACATTTGGTTGGGGTTTTTTTTGTTGTTTTTCATTTAAAACTTCACATTTCCCAAATAACACTGATTCAATTTCAGGTGAAAACACTGAGGAATTACTGAGGGAGAGGTGGGGAGGTGATGAGGGACCAACAAAGAAAAACAGAGGTTAAAAATAGAAAATCAAATTTCTTCAAATGATCATTTTTTAAAAATATTAAGGTTACAAAGATAAATAACACAGCCGTATTTATAGCACCTAGAATTTAGTACTTCATTCTGTGGCTTCTACTTAAAGGAGCCACTTAATCAAATATTCAAAACAAATTTATGTTACTGAGCATCACTCTGACTACAGACCTATTCTGATGCCTCACCTGGCTTCTTAAAGACTATGCCAGGAAAGTATAAGGTCTGGGGAAGATTTATCAAGTTGGAAAGGCCATAAACGTTCACCATGTTAATGCTGAACTTGAGGCAGACTTTTAATCTGCAGAGCCCACCGCAGCTCAGAACTGCCAAATTCCAAAGATCCGACAGCCTCAGCCTCCCTGGTAGCTGGGATTACAGGTGTGTGCTGCCCCACCCAGGATTACAGCTGTGGCCACAACAACTTCTGGAGACTGTCTACTGAGCTCTTTTCAGGGAAGCAAAGAACAGGAATCTGAGGGGTGCCTGCAAATTAGGGAATAGATGAACAAGTTATGTTAATGAATGTGACGGAAGGCTATAGCGTTCACGTTTCATCAGCATAATGACAAACCACAATTGCAGAGCACTAATGATGAACATGCCACCCACTTCCTGATAGAGAGATGACATGAACGTGGAATATAACCAAATTTTTTGGACATGGTCAATGTGGAAATTTGTTTTGATTGACTATCCATGTTTGTAATGGATTTTGCTTTTCTTGTGCTCTCAATGAGAGGGCTAGAAGGCTGATTAGAACAAATTTTTTTTAAAGACCATCTATTAAGTGAAGGAGAGATGGTGATCCGTGTTGGTGAGGGACTGTGCACACAAGGGAAATCATAGATCCTCAAAAAATCGACTTTCATGTTACTAAGAATCATTAACATATGTATGTGGGATCACTGGAGTGGAGGGGAAAGGGACTTGGAAGAGGGAAGAATAGCTTTTTTTTTTTAACTTTACAAGTATAACAAGTCTCCCTCACATTGTATTTTTTTAACACTTCACTTTCTGCTCCCATACCTACTGTACCTGGGTGATCAGGATTCAAGTCTTCCACAGCAATCTGGACCACATCGGCCAAATCCTGTTCTGACATCATCCAGAATCATGCAGTAAGGTTCAATTATCACAGCAGCCAAATATAAATTCCAAATGGGAAGAGCTGGTCAGCTTTTAATAACCTATTAAAATACATATAAAGGGAAAATTTTTAATTTTGTCACACAAAAGAATAATTATACCTGTACAAAAAACTACTTTATAATAACATCAATATTAATAATGTCTCTTCGTACTTCTTTTCTTCTCTTACTTAGGGTATGCCAATGTGTTAAGAAAACAGAAAGTACATTATTTGCTCAGTGTCATAATTCAAACAATTAAGAGGTTTGGATGACAAAATCCCTAACTCCTAAGCCTTTGCTTAAATCCACTGATGACTTGTTTTTGAGTCGTTTCAGTCATATCCGATTCTTTGTGACCCTATCAGTGGTTTCCCTGGGGGCTGTATCCACTGCGCCACCTAGCTGCCCCTTTAATACATACACATGCTTGTGTATATATTAAATTAAGTTTTAAAAGTTTCTCAAAAATTAAAGATGAGAAACAGTTTTATCTCTACCTCCTTGGGCAATCATTTAACCTCTGGACCTCCGTGCCTCAACTGTAAAATGAATGGGTTGTACCAGATGACCTCTAAGGAGCTTCCTAACTCTGAATCTATGATCTTCTCTCTCCAGCACCTCCTACAAACTTAATTGATAATGAACTTCTCAGAATTCTGAATGAAGACAGCCTATTCTGGAGACCAGCTTTCCTTTACACTGTTAGTGGAGTTCTACATTAGCCCCATATCTGTTAGTCTTAATGAGATTACTTAACCTTTCAGGTTATTCTGGAGAGTAACAGAGGAGCTCCATATTGTCACTCAAGAGGCCCTTAGCACTCTTCAGGTCCACCTCTCAGATTCCCTTATTTCCTTCAAAGCTCAGGTCAAATGCTCCCTTCTACATGAAGCTTTTCCAACTATTAATAACTATCCTCAATTTTTTTTAATTTGATGTATGCATACTTATCCACACATCTGCTGTTTCATCAGATAGATACCACGACAGTAGGGAATACTTCTTTTCTGTCTTTGTATTCCCCTGAGCTTAGCACAATGCCTGGCACACAGCAGAAGCTTAATAAATGCTTGCTGGTTTCCTGATCAGGACTACCAAACTACAATGAAATTATAAGACGTTCCCAAAAAAAGCAACTGTTTTCTGAAGGGTATTCTTCAGATTTGAAAGACTGTCAATTTTCAATCAAAAACAGCATATGTATAAACTTAAATGTTGCTTTTTTTTTAAAGAGAAAACCTGAAGCAAAGATTACTGGCAGTCTACATTGAGGTTTCCCAACATGAGCATTATCACTCAACATAAACATTAAAACCAACTCAAGATGGTTAAGTAAAGACATTTTTCCTCATTTTACTATCTAAGGAGGAAATAAATTAGTGACAGGTGGAAAACAATTGAAAATGCACAATACAATGTTTTTGTATGGTTACTAATGGCTCCAAGCTTGGCCGAAGACAGCACTATACTTCATAAAAGCCTGAATCATGTAATCTCTTCCAAACCAGAACACCACACAATATCCAAGTTGTTTACACAAAATGATTCTTTTGCCAACATAAAGAGTCATTTAAAATTCTGCTCATGGTGAAACTTTTCGGACTAGGGCAACCAGCCCAAGAAAACTGGCAATAGATTTACACATGTGGTTGCCATTTTGGCAAACTGAATTTGCCATTTCTCAGAAGTCCTGGGGACTATCCAGTCTTAACATAATAAAACATCTGTGCTAGGATTCATGTTTCATAATGTCACTATCTGCAATTACTATTTAGAACCCTGCCCTGTCCTTGAAGAGGCGCATCTTCTCATTTGCACAGGGAAAGGGGGTAAACATAGCAAAATCTTATTAAATATGAGAAGCTTTCTATACTTTTATAGTGATACCCCAGTGGTGCCATGAGTACATTTGAGTTTGGAAAAAATACTGTTCCAGAGACTAAGAACTTTTCCCAAAACTAAGTTCTGCACCTATGTCTTGAACTATACACTTCAGTTAGAAGGGACTGGTAAGTTACTGTCAAGTAGACCCTTTAAATGAAGCACAAATCCCACAGCAGCCTTAACAAATGGTCATCCGACCTATGCTGAAATATCCCCAGTGATGAGTAACTCACTCCCTATTAAGACGACCCATTCCATTTCTGGACCACTCAAATCATCAGTTAGTTTTTCCTTGTGCTGAACCAAAATCAACCTTGCTTTAACTCCTACACATTGGTCCTAGTTCCATGCACTGGGGCCAAGCAGAAATGGTGTACTCTTTCTTCCACAAGACAACAAAATATCTTAAGAGAGCTATCATGAGAAGAGATAAATAACATTCTTTTTCCCAGGCTAAGTATGCCTATGGTAAATTGAAAAATAATTAAAACAGACAAGTGACATGAGGGGAAATTTTATGTAAGCACAAATCTTCCCAATAAGACAAGTTTCCCAACTAGGTAAGAATCAGCGACATGGTGTGTTATTAGACTAATACCAATAGTGCGGAATACGTGAAAATCAATCATTAGTTTTTAAAATCAAAATATAAAGCATGCATAAAAGCCATTAGCCCCTAATCTACACTTTTTTGTTGTTTTCAATTAACAGAAGCAAATTTTGAAAATATTCCCAAAGGCTTTTAATTTACACTGAAAAGTACAAGATCTGGCTAATAGTCCACCCAAAGTCATCATATTAAAAGACTGTAACCGAAGGTTATACCCAATGTTTATATTCTCAAACTAATTACCTGTTTAATGGATAGTTGTAGCACTCTTTGGGAACTGTCTAACCTAATAAAAGACTAAAAATAAACTTTAAAATAACAAATAGCAACATGTGAACAAACATCTACAGAGCAAGCCATATACAAGATAAATAGGACATAACTAATAGAGGAAAGACAGGGGTATGGAGAAGGCTCCCAGTAAAAGAAGGGATTTTACTTGGGATTTAAAGAATCCAGAGAAGCCAGAAGGCAGGGATGAGGAAAGAGAGCACTTGGGGGGGAAGGGGACACCCGAGAAAATGCCCAGAGCCAAGCCAGGAGACCAGGGTCATGGGATCAAAGGGTACCTGGAAGGGAGTAAGGTGCAAAAAGACTAAAAGGTAGGAGTGGGGTAGGCTATGAAGGGCTCTGAGTGCCAAGTGGGACATTTTGTATTTGCTCCTGGAGTTCACTGAGTAGGGGGTGACATGATCAAACCTGCATTTTAGGAAAAGCACGTTAGCAGCGGGATGGAGGATTGGAGTAAGAAAAGCTTGGAAAGTAGGAGGTCAAACTATCACAGTAATTTCAGAGCCCGAGGTAATGAGGGCATTCTTCCTACTCTGTTCCACCCATCGACCTCCCCAGCTTCCTTTAAGTCTCAACTAAAATCCCTCCTTTTACTGGAATCTTTCTTTCCCCTGCCCCTCTTCATTCTAGTTCCTTCCCTCTGTTCATTATTTCCTATTTATTCTGTATCAAGCTTACTTTGCACCTATTTGTTTGCATGTTGCCACCCGAATTAGATTGTAAATTCCTTGAAGACTGGGACTGTCTTTTGCCTCCCTTTGAATCCCTAGCCTTAGCATGGTGCTTCCACTTAGTAGATGCTTCATAAATGTTGACTGATTGATTGGTTACTGGATTTTTTTATCCATTCCAGGAAAAGTTAAGTTAGGCTAAGTGTACGTTTTCCTCCTCCCTACTACTGCCTTTAAAAAAAAGCATTTGCACTTATTGTGTGACCCTGGGCAAGTCACTTAACCCCGATCACCTCACCAAAAAAAAAAAAAAAGAAAAGAAAAAAAGGCATTTGGTTGTTCCTATTCCTTTTTTTTTCTTTTTGGGTAAGTGACTTGCCCAGGGTCACAAGGCGGCCCAGATTTGATCCTATTCCTTTTTAAGTCAATACTTTTCCCCTACAGTTAGTTTTGTTTCATTTACTTTGATGTAATCCTATTCTTTTACAGCCCTACCCCAGTCTTGTTTCAAGACAGTGAGGTTCTGGATAAAACAAAACCTCATGTTCTGTTGCTGAAAAGAAAGCACCTAAAAAGCAAAGCCATACAGAGAATCAAAACAAGAGAGTAAAATAAAATTCCCTAACACATCAAGGGAAACCACAAGCAGGAAATGTTTCCCACGTAGAACTGACAGAAGTGTCAACAGACTGGCTTGGAGTGAAGACGCCTAGGTTGTGAACCTAAGCAGCCGATAGGATGGTAGTGACCTCAGCAGTAATAGGGTAGCTTGAAAGAAGGGATGGTCGAGGGGTAGCTAGGTGGCACAGTGGATAGAGCACCAGCCTTGAAGTCAGGAGGACCTGAGTTCAAATGTGGCCTCAGACCAAACACTTGACACTTACTAGCTGCATGACCCTGGGCAAGTCACTTAACCCCAAATGCCTAAAAAAAAAGGATGGTTGGGGGGTGGGGAGGATGAAGATAAGGAATCTAGTTTTGATCACATCTACAGGACATCCAGTTTGAGATGTCTAATCAGTTCAATCATTTTTCACTCACGTCCGACTCTTTGTGATCCCATTTGGGGTTTTCTTGGCAAAGATACTGGAATGGTTTGCCAATTCCTTCTCCAGTTCAATCGCCAGATGAGGAAACTGACATAAATTGGGTTAAGTGACTTGCCCAAAATTATACAGCTAATAAGTGGGGGAGTCCTGACCCCACGCCCAGCACTCCATCCACTATGGTGCTACCTAGGTGACCCTAAGATGCCCACTGCAGCTGGACAACTGAGACCGGGGGGGGGGAGGGGTCAGGAGAGAAGGTGGGGCTGAGAATCATAAGCATGAAGAAGATAACCAAATCCATGGGAGCTGATGAGACCACTAAACAAAACAGTATAGAGGGAGAAGAAAAGAGGACCCAGCAGGAAGGCTGCGGATGAAGCTATTCAGATGGCAATTTAATTCATTTTAAAGCTGAAAGAAATCTTTATAATTGTCAAATAAGCACTGACTGGGAAAGGGAAGGATTTCTAGCTTGAACACTTTAGGCACAATTCTGCTAAGACTGTATAAAATCCTTATAGGAGTTAAGATGGATTTCAAATAATCTTTGCC